TTTTAAGACAATATTTGTGTCAACTTATTTTCTTTGCCGTGAACAATTCTAGATCAATACTTTACCTTACGCAATTAAATGTACATTGACATGGGATACACACCAAGTTCACCATATACCATAAAGTTTCGAATTGACTTCTTTAAGTACAGTAGTAGCTTACATGATTTCAATAATGTCTAATGAACCCCCAAATTTCACACCCATAAATAAAATAGATAAAAATAAGAGACTTCGCTATCTTATCAAACAAATCATACAAGGGTCTCACAAAAATGCTATATATTCTCTCCTTATTAAGTACAGTTTCCAAAGTTTACAATATTCACTATTTAATTGAATTTTATTGAAAATATCACTGTATAAAAATCGTGCGTACGTAGCACTTTTTCTGGATTGATCTTTATCAGGAACGCTCAGTCACCCTAAACAGTTGTAAAAATACAAAGGTACGCTAGGAGCTATAGGACCAAATTAGACCTTAAAAGAACAGTTAAAATAATCTAAGGCCAGCATTGCTGCCTGTGGGAGTTAGAATATTCGTTTCTACATAGTAATAATTTATAAACGAGAAACATAACATTCATACTGGCACAGCATGAAGGCTTTTTGCATCATCTTGTATTTTAGATTTTTGAAAAGCATAATGTTCGCCATATGTATATATTTATATATATTTGAAAATAAAACCCACTACCTGATTTAATTGCTTTTGGTTGGTAATTAAAAACAAAACACTGTACTATAAGTTAAAAACACACTTTTGCTTCCTTCCTTCTTATCCAAAAAAATGTTAAACATTGAAAACATGTTTGTCTCCTTCTTTTCTATGCTGCAATGAGAGTGAATGACAAGAGTACTGAACATCACCTGGTTGGAATCACACTTTGTAAAAATTAGTTATTGTCACAGTTTTGTATGCAATAATAACCTTTTGTTTGGCCTGACAGAATGATTAGTTCATTTCCAGTTTTGAAATCTGCAGTTCTAAAAGGGTATTATGGCTTTGTTCAAAATTTAAGAAACAAAGTAAACGCAAATGTCCAGAAAATACATAAGAGCGTTGAAACTTTTACCATAGCAGCAGTGGACATATTGTACAGAAAATACATAAGAGCGTTGAAACTTTTACCATAGCAGCAGTGGACGTATTGTCCAGAAAATACATAAGAGCGTTGAAACTTTTACCATAGCAGCAGTGGACGTATTATCCAGAAAATACATAAGAGCGTTGAAACTTTTACCATAGCAGCAGTGGACGTATTGCATTCCGATCGCTTTTCGAAATTAACACAGTCATATTCTCTCGGGTTTTCTTCAAAATAAATATGAAGTGTGGATCTTCTTAGGTTTCTTAAACAAAGAGGTACCTCTTCCATCAATTTAGTGAAAAAGGATGGTTCAGGGTATTCATATGGAATAATTGTTGAATTCAGCACGGCTCCATAGGACCAAACAAATCCTTTCAGTTGTCCGTGGTAATACAGAAGAGCAACCGGGAAAAAGTCAGAACAATTCATATCAAGGTATGTGTTGTAAAAGTAATGAAATCCCATACCGGGAAAGCATAAACCTTTTACCCATTTTGTCCTGGACTCTTCCAAAGCTATTTCTATCACATCTTCTTCCGGCTCCGTACCATTCTGAATCAGTAGGTATTCGGCTATTCCGTGCAATTGAATTCGCTGTCGAGATCTCCCTCTTTTACAAATAGTGCTTGGGTCTGTAAAATAAGCTGTCAGTTTATAAAGATCACCGTCACGGACAAATGGCGGTTGCATATTATCTGGTGGATATTCGTTATCTAAATCAAAAGGAATTCCAGATTGCAGTCCTGCAATATTTCCGCTAATGTCAAAAAGAAGAATAACTTGAGGATCCCCATTCTTCATAAACTGCTTTCCTCTAAAATTAGGGTTGCTTTCACATTCCGATACTTTTGTATATCCAGTTTGGAGAGCATCAAATTCTGTTATTGGAAAGGATGTAAACATATTAAATCGAAGTTTTAAACTTGTCCATTCAAACCTTTGGAGCTTGTTTGCTGTAATTCTTGGAATCAATGTCAGAGTGATAGCAGATATGAATGCGAATTTTAATCGTAAATCCATCTTTTGAACATTTATTTTCCAAAAAAAGTTTAACCTGGATCAGGTAAATATGCAAAACAGGACAAGTAATGAAATAATGTATTTTTTTTACAGTGATCTCTTTGGGAAATAGTGAACCGTTGAAAATATAGAAGCAAACAAATCTTTAACAACGATATGAATTTTTTTACAAAGTTTTAACGATAAGTTAAGTACTTGAAAGAGCATCGGGGCGAATTACAAAAAAGAAATTTTAACAATTTCCTTTGGGGACATCTATAATACATTTTAGTTACGCTCTGTGAAGAAGTAACGCTCTAAATACTTAAACTATATCTAGTGTATTGGAAAATGTTAAGCATCAACTACTTGAACACCTTTAAACTGATCACTTGTAAATTCTTAAGATGGTCTTTGTGCTTTTTGAATAGGTTTATATGGTAGAGTTGCCAATAAGAAATGAATATTCCCGCACCAATGATATAAAAATATTTACCCATTTACTCAGGTCACAGAAGGGACTTCATTAAAAATTGACCGCACATTTGATTTTCTTTTTAAAAAAAAGACTTCTGGTACTAACATAACAGAAATCGTCACTGACATAGCCAGACAAATGATGTAATTGTTAACAGCTGTTATAATAATGTCGTTGAATTATTTTTTTTTACAAAAGTCTCATTTTAATCAAATATAAATATTAATAAGACTACTATATACGAATAAATCAGAAGATAACTAGTATGGTATAGGCACATCTAATTATAAACGAGAGGTTGCAGATATATTGTTATCTATATGACCTCATAAACAAAAAAATTCTTACAGATGACAAACATAATTTCCAAATATAATTCAATGTTCAACTTTCTAGGTTGTATCTTGAAAAAAGTATCTTTTATGGTTGCCCCAATAATGTTCTTACGTGAACTTTCACCTGGTAAATAGCAGAGGACGATAGTTGATGTCGAGAGATAACAACAGATAATAGCAGAGGACGATAGTTTATGTAGATTATTGATGTCGAGAGTTTACTTAACAACAGCTGGTAAATAGCAGAGGACGATAGTTGATGTCGAGAGTAATCAACAGCTGCTAAATAGCAGAGGACGATAGGTGATGAGGAGAGTTAACAACATCTGGTAAATAACAGAGGACGATAGGTGATGTGGAGAGTTAACAACAGCTGGTAAATAGCAGAGGACGATAGGTGATGTGAAGAGTTAACAACATATGGTAAATAACGGAGGACGATAGGTGGTGTGGAGAGTTAACAACAGCTGGTAAATAGCAGAGGACGATAGGTGATGTGAAGAGTTAACAACAGCTGGTAAATAACAGAGGACGATAGGTGATGTGGAGAGTTAACAACATCTGGTAAATAGCAGAGGACGATAGTTGATTTCGAGAGTTAACAACATCTGGTAAATAACAGAGGACGATAGGTGATGTGGAGAGTTAACAACAGCTGGTAAATAGCAGAGGACGATAGGTGATGTGGAGAGTTAACAACAGGTAAATAACAGAGGACGATAGGTGATGTGGAGAGTTAACAACAGCTGGTAAATAGCAGAGGACGATAGTTGATGTCGAGAGGTAACAATAGCTGGTAAATAGCAGAGTACGACAGTTGATGTCGAGAGCTAACAACATCTGGTAAATAGATGATGACGATAGTTGATGTCGAGAGTTAACAGCTGGTAAATAGCAGAGGACGATAGTTGATGTCGAGTGTTAACAACAGCTGGTAAATAGCAGAGGTCGATAGTGGATGTCGAGAGTTAGCAACAGTTGGTAAATAGCAGACGACGATAGGTGATGTGGAGAGTTAACAACAGTTAAATAGCAGAGGCCGATAGTTGATGTCGAGAGTTAACAACAGGTAAATAGCAGAGGACGATAGGTGATGTCGAGAGTTAACAACAGGTAAATAGCAGAGGACGATAGTTGATGTCGAGAGTTAACAACAGCTGGGAAATAGCAGAGGACGATAGGTGATGTCAAGAGTTAACAACATGTAAATAGCAGAGGACGATAGTTGATGTCAAGAGTTGACAACAGGTAAAAAGCAGAGAACGATAGTTGAGATCAGGTGAGATATTTAAGTTTCCCATTGTAAATGTTCTCGGACTGTTGTTTGTAGGTTTGTCTGTTCGTCTTTTTTGTTTTGGCCATGGTGTTGTCTGTTGTTTTTCTTCAACTTATGTTTTTTAATACCCTACTGTACATGTATTTTCTCTCCCATTTTTATTTATTCTGTTTTAGAAAAAGTACCTTCATGCGTACCTTATCATCTTTCTAAGTATGATACTTGAAAGTGGTATCTATCCGTCTGTTTAAAGTCCATGGTTGTATTTGTCGAAATCATATATGACTGAGAAGTAAACCCGGAAATTACCACCAGAAGCTTGTCAAATTGGAACGGAGAAATGTCAAGTTTGAACTGAGAAATGTCATCTTGGAAGTGAGAAATTTCAAAGTTGGAACTGAAAAATGAAAATGGTTGTGTTTAATCAAAATTAAGTAAAGCAGGAACACAGGATCTGTATTTAGTTAGATTTGGGTTAAGCCGCTTTGTATAACATCATTTTTTTCTTTTTGTCGGACGTTTAACAAAAATGAAAATTTTCATATTATGACATTCGAGACTACTTCTTTTGATACATTATATTTTTTTATCAGTGAAAACATTTAAAAAAAAAAACAGAGGATTACATTAATTTGATGAGTATTAACCATATCGAATCTATTTGCAGTCAGACCGAAAAGTAAACAAAATCAACAAGATTGATTGAAAACATGTCTTTTATTTTGATAATCAATATAAATCGGGAATAAGTACCATGCCAACAAGTTCTATGTTTAATATTAGTAATATCATGTTTGCCTCTAGCTGCTTCCGGGTACGATGAAATATACACCTTGTTGCCTTTTATGATTTTTACTTGTCATTAAGGTAGGAAATACAGGCTTAGTAAAAGAAAAGACGTTACAAAGTATGTTGTTTATTTATTTATTTTTTTTATTTTATAGTGATTGTAAACTAAGCATAAATCAACGTTTTCTATCTATTTTTGTTTGTTTTTATTTATTTTCTATTTTTTTTTAGTTGCATGAAATACAATCGTTCAAATGTATTTTAGATGTACTTATCATATTCATTAACACAGCAATTATTTACCATTTTTAACAGATTTTTTTAATCGTTTTTTGTCTTATATTTAGCCTTTTTTCAGACATCAATGTTATGTTATATCGGACAATGCTGATTCTAATGCCATTTGATGCATTGACAAATACAATGAAGCAACATTTAAATTTTCAGTATGTTTCTTGAATAAGAAGTTAAATATTCAATATCCAATAGAAGACAATCTAAGAGATGCGTTCATTCCGATAAGCGATTTGTAAATTGTTCGATTATGTGAAGTTTTCGATCAGTCAATTTGAAAGTATATTTTTTTGTAAATCTCCAGTCAAGAATGAACCATCGTATCCACAGTTCAATCACAGAAAAAGAAAGTACAGATCGTTAGATTGAAACCTGTCATTGCGTGTATATGCAATAGATTAAAAACCTTATGGGCGAAAGTAACGATTATTATATGAATAAAAGGTGAATTATAAAAAAAATGCGAAAAAAAAATTATTTCCAAACCAAAAATCGATAATTCAAAGATAAAGGAACTTTTAATTTTTAATGACTAATTTACGCTGACGATATGGTTTTTTTTTTCTTCAGAAACTGTATCTGGTTTACAAACGTAACTTGATACTTTGTATGTGTATACCTCCAAATGGTCACTTAGTGTTGATATAGCAAAATTATTGCTTTTAGAAAAGGTGAAAACATATATGACAATGAGAAATGGTATTATAATAACCAGGAGATACTAGTGGTAGATAAGTTTAGTTATCTTGGAATATTGTTAAATTTTAATGGCAAAGATAATTTGTCACATAACAGAAACTCTCAGAATACGGTAGAAAAGCTTTGTTTGCCTTAAGGACAAATATAAAAGATATTATGTAACTTTACTTTCACCTTTTGACACTTATATTAACAGTGTACTATATATATATAAATGTTATGGCTGCGAAATATGGAGTTCTCATAAGGCACCAGCTGTAGAGAGGATATACCTGGGCTATTGTATTTTGAAAAACTGTTTTTGTATTTTATATGATGGTTTACAAAAATATCCAATTATTTTATTAAAAATGAGCCTGTTAGTATAGGTTTAGGTTATATTTGGTATAATCAAGGTTATATTATAGATAGTAAGCTCTCCAGTGCTTTTTACTTCAGAATTGAACAGCACCTGTTTGATTGTCTGAAGCAAGATTTTGACAGCCAATTAGTAATTTAGTAGATATTCAAGTTATAGATATAAGGTTCAAATTTTTTGTTTACAATATTACTTATGTAAACCAATACCAGTTAATTATAAGTCATGTATTACCAACATAAGACTTAGTAGTCATAATTTAGCTATAGAATGTGGACGTTTACTTTGCAATTTAAAGAAGAAATAGACTCTGTAGTTTTTGTAAAGATGACATTGAAGATGAGATACATTTCATTTTAAATGTCCCCCTTATCAAGGTCTTAGATCTTATTTTATTTAACCTTATTATCGGAGAAAACTTTCTATATACAAATATATACAATAAATGAGTTCGAATAATCTTAGAGAGCTAAGTAATTTGGGCATTTTCATATTTCGTGTCCAAAAGTTAAGATCTGACATGTTGTAATATGTTTCGCACTGCCTCCTGCTAATTTATGTATACTATGTGTAGTTTATATGTTGTATGCTGATAGTTGTTATTACTATGTAAGTAAAGATTATTAATCTTGAATATTTGATTAAATTTAAGATCTAAAATACCGAAAAATACATTTTAGTAAAATGTCGACATCACTTAAAGCTTGTATGGACAATAAGTATAATGTATTTTTATTTTTTATTTTAAGTTGTTACATCATCACCTAAAACAAATCATCTACTAGTACCCTCGGACGATTTTGGCCGGCGGTTGATATTTGTCTAATGTTGACATTGTTGAGGGCCGTTATGTTGCGTGATAGTTGTCAATTCTGTCATTTTGTTTGTTTTTTTGTTTTTGCTGCCTTATTTACGTAAACTTCAATAACTTTTTTTCATTCACACTAACTTTACATATTCACACTAACTTAACATATTCACACTAACTTTACATATTCACACTAACTACATATTCCATTCCGCTTTACACCCGGTATGATAAATGTACCCTTTTATTTGCTTAGAATATTGCAAAGTACTTTCGACCAATGAAATTGTAGGATTGGATGCCTCTTAATTGGGAAGAATGAATGTAAATCATGTTCTTAGTAATGGATTATCCTATAATTTTGGTGTATTTACAGTTCAAAACAAAGAGTTTCTATAAATGAGTTACAACTGCCCCGAAGCACATTTATCAGATTGAAAGGATTAATCACAGAGTGATTGAAACTGACTAAATGTTGAATTGTGAAACAAACAAAAATCTCAAAATAAGTTGAAGTTTACTGGTGCAGTAAAATTGGTACCGTGAATGTTATTATGAAAATATTAATAATTTCAAATTACTATAAAATTAAACAATACCAAAGCAATGCAAAAAAAAAGGAAAAAAATCTTTCAGATAAAAAATAAACTAAATCTTTAGCTTTCCAAAACTTTGATTACTTGATCAGCGGTTGGGGAGAATAGTTATTTCCAATACATGTATTCCGATAAAAAAAAACAGGAATTTAGTTTTGAACATATTAAAAACTTTTAAGGGCATTATTTTTGAACATTTCCCTGACATAATGAAACAGTATTTGATGTAAAAAGCCGGACCAAATTATTGGCTGAAATAAAATTTAGTTGTAACTCAAATGTATTGATTGATTTAAACTGTAAAAAAAAAGAATAATTCCTCACTATAGTATTACATGATTTACATTCATACTCACAATCAGGAAACATACAATTCCTACCTTTTCTTTCTACTGTTGTGTCACCTAATATCTATAACTCATTTTTTTTTAAAAATATTTCCCAAATGATAAGAAAGTCCTCACATCACTAAAACTCATCCATAAATGACATGCCGAAAAAGGAAGTCATGCATCAATTATAAACATTGCACTGACAATGAAACTAATTGATAGATCATTTGAGCCTTGAGCACTTTACAATATTCTAAGTTTGTAAGAGAATGATAATCCCTTACTTCATGATAAGTACTCGCTAACGCTCATACTTATTCATGAAGATTTGATTTGATTTTTGGTGTTTTAACGCCACTTTTAAGCACCGCTTTTGGGCTATTTCTTGGCGGCCAGTTTTATTGGTGGAGGAAGCCGGAGTGCCCGGAGAAAACCACCGACCTTCGATAGGAAAACTGACAATCCTAGTCAATGAAGATTGGAGTCGAGTGCACCCGCACGAGCGGGGTTCGAACTCACAACCTCAGTGTTGACTGGCTAGTGATTACAGTAGTAACTACTTAGACCACTCGGCCACCGAGGCCCCTATTCATGAAGAAAGGGATTATCATTCTCTTACATATACATGTGCTTTACAAAATAAACTAACTAAAATTAAATAGACGTGCAACATTTTTTTTGACAATATGATACAGCATGTCATTTTTATTGTATGACATTTGCATTGTATTGTGTTTTTTCTCCCTTTTCAGGCATCAAGAATCATTGAACACTGAAACAATTAAATTCGACAGATGGTATTGCATGATTTTTGTTTTCACTTTATCTTAGGTAGGAGAATTACACAGAGTTAACAGACAACACTTCGATTATGAATAAGACAGAGCTTCCAACTATTGCTGAAGATCCAAAAATCCACATCCTTACTATCAAGATAATACGGAGACTAAAGGCTGACTATGATCTATTGCAGATGTTTGAAATGGTACAGACGACCGTCATTTTTCTATCTCTGCTGTTTGGATTCTTGTTCCTTCTATATCCACTTTATGAAAGGCGACGTCGAACAACCGTTTGGAGTCTATGGTGGACGACTTTGTTTGGATTCATACAAATATGCTACTGTGCAGCGAATGTATTTGTTGCTAAACACGTTCATTTAAAACCGAAACCGGGCTCAATACAATGCAGCGACTTCTATTCAATTCCAATGTTCTGTGATGTTTTATCAATAGCTGTGCTTGTTGGTTCCGCTATTGGTGTGCATTTTAGAAATTCAAAAATTGTCATTCTGAAATATGTATTTTTCACTTACACAATTCTTTGTACGCTTAGTGTTATTGCACTTCAAAGTTTGACAAATCTTCACCAACCCAATGGAATTAAACTGACACCAAACATTCAGCTACAGCCAATTTCTTGTTGTCTTAACCCAAATGAGCACCTTCTCATTATTGCATGTGAATATGTTTTGATATACATTCCTATGGGAGTTGTACTGTTGATGGTGTACTCTCGATCACGAAAGACAATTACAGGTAATCAATATAGTTTTAGAATATAAATCAAAGGAGACGCGGGGTATATGTCAATGATAGAGAAACCCAACGATGCGAAAAAAGCAAAAAACGTGTAAACATCAGCATATTGGATTTGATAATAATTGAAATCACTATAGAAAAAAAAATTGAAATTTTTAATTTTTAAACGGATTTCAGTGCCATACTACTGGTATGTGCATCTAATGTTATACTTCATCCAGTAAACTGGAGACTAAAAGTCTGGATAGCACAAAAATGCACAAATCATTTGAGAGCGTAGCCCCCCCCCCCCCGCACCCCCCCCCCCCCCCCCCCACCAACACACACACAAAACTAACAAAAAACACGAAAAACTATAAAATAAATAAGAAAACAAAACAAAACAAAAAAGAATCTTAACATTATACTAAAGTAGTCAACATTTTATAGTTTCAATATTTGATTTATTCTTTTCTTCACGTCCTTCGACCAATATTTCCTGATAGATTCAGAAGAGATCAAATTGACAATAAATCCAATAGGTAGGCTTTGCAAAGTGGGTCGCCAGGGATAAATGGAGGGTAGTTTTGACAGGTATTGGAAAAGAGGTTTTGCTGAATAGGGACAGAAATTTTGCCTTGCAGAAGGCATCACAGACCCCTAAAAGAGATGTTTCAAGGTTTCCAGAAAGTTTAGAGAAAATGGCACGCTCTTTACATATCGCTCCAAATCTGATCGGACGTGAATGCATATTTATATATCCCAGGCCCGAGCAGGTAGGCGCCCCTCCCGCATCAGCATACATTTTTATTATCGGATGGGTGTTTTTTCAATTAAGTGGTATTTTGATATTAAGACACCCTATGTAATGATGTAATAGGTTTTTTATTTGGGGGAGGGGGGATTTAATGCATTTTTGTTGAATAGTTCACAATGAGTGACAAATGGAATTATATTAGTTGTATTAGCTCTTGAAAGACAATTTTTATAGATTTATTTTTAGTACATCTTTTTATACACTTTTATGAAATTTACGACTTTGAGAAAATCTATCTTGCATATTCAGGACTAGAAAAAAATTAACAACAAATTGAACTGTGAACTATTGCTCACTACTGAAACCCCCGCTATAAGCATTTAATAAGCAGGAAGTTCATGTGAAAACATATCACACAGCATAGCAATGCTCACATAAACCTCAATTTTTAGGAAGCTCCGATTCGTAGTTCTTGGGAAAATATACGAAATTTCATGCATGGCCATTATAAGTATAAACAGGAAGTTAATGAGCGATTAAAGTGAAAACGCACCAAACGGTATGGCATGCTCACATAAACTTGCAATAAGCTCTAATTTGAAGTTCCTAATTAAATGTAATGAATATTTCATGGGTCGGACGGACAGACGGACATATTTTGGGGTATGTTAAATACAATAGATTGTTTGTGCAAGGTAGGTCGACTTGGATGAAGGTTCGGCTTTGCACCATACCCCATCAAAGAGTTTTTGCAAGAGTTCTTTAGCATGCAGAGGCCGTGTAATATTTATTTATTTATATTTTTTTTTCAGAAAAGCATCAAGAAATGTATTTTTTTGTACCCTGCAACGAAAACAACGTATGTGGATCGTGCCAATATCAGAATTTTGTCTGCCGGTCAATCTTGTCTGCATATATTTTAAGTATATACATTATCCGACCTGGAGTAATCCTCGTTTATTCCATGTATGATTTTCTACACCAGGACATTATTCCAAGTATTGTATCAACTGCAGTGTATGTGTTTCTATGCTTTGAATACACTATTATATTACAAAGTAGCTGTAAGCAGAGCACAGAAACACAGACTGAATCACGAAAGGACAGTTTACAAAATAGTGACATTATCGACTTTTTTTAAATATGTTTTTTCAAACATCTATGCGTTTGCTTCATTGTCTCATGACGAGAACAATATTAATACAAAAGTAGAAAAGACACCAAACGAAAACACATCGATAAAAGACTCAGAATAATTGTTTAATCTCGAAATGATGATGGTTGGCACGGAGGTGACAAAACATACTCTAAAGATAGCCGACAAAATGTGGACGTTTCCGTTGCCAATGTAGGCCGAAAGATGGCAACTCGGATGTTCAATAAAACATTGATATCTGTCGCGCATGCGTATATTACAGCAACTGAATTACATATCAACGGTTTCAGTAATACAGTTTATCAGAAATCATTAGAGCTATTTTTCTAATGCTTGTAGTTTAAGGGTTTTGTTGGCTTGCTTTGCTACTTTGTTTGTATAAATGTTTGCTCAAGCATTGTTATTAAGATTGACATCTGCAATCAATAGATAGGCGATGCTTCAACTTGTATACATTATACTTTTAAAAATGTTATTGGATTTTCAGTATAATGCAGATTATAATGTATACAAGCTGAAGCCCCGCCTATCTATTGATTGCAGATGTCAATATTAATTACAGTGCTTGAGCAAACATTTATACAAACAAAGCAAGCAAGCCAACCAAACCTTTAAACTAAATGCATTAGGAAAATAGCTCTAACTATATACTATATATTTATAAGTGTTTTTTATTGTGTATATCTGATTCAATGCTTCAAATATACTTCTTTTTAAATTAATGTATGCATATTGTTATCAAATACCTGTTGTTTCTTAAATGTTATTGAATGAAAGAATACAATTTCATAAACTTCACGTTTTTGTAAGCTCACTTGGTAATGAACGGACAGAGCTAATACCAATCATCTTAAGTTCCATTGAGAGCATTGACATACGATTTGTTTGAAAAAACTGGACAACTTCCGACTAACGTGATACCGAATGAATTTACAAATACGACACTGCGCAAATGAAATGAAAATTTTAGGCCATATCTCATTTTAATTATCATCCTCCAGGATTTGATGGCCTACCGAAGGATTCTCCTAAGTGATCGATAATTAATCATTAATTATAGTAAATGCAATGTCTTTTATGAAGTAACATTTTGACAGTGCTGATTAGACCTCTTCCTATTCCCCTTGCGGTAATTTACAAATATATTTTACAAATAACCGTAAATGTATAATTAAATCTTAAATCCTCTTCTCGGCATGATATATTTTTTAAGAAGGTGAAAGTTTGAGTACAAATCAATCTGACGCCAGCCTATTGCTTACATCACAAACCTAAAAGATCGTTAACACACGGTCTTCATTTAGAGCAAAATGCCTATGCTATATACGAAGCTATAAATAGTTTTAATTCTGGGAGGTGAATAAGTTCAAAGAGACGAAAATGTATCTACCAAATATCTGCAATTACAACAACCAAAGTGTAGAGACAAATTTATTTTCTTATTACTAACTTCATGCAGTAGAATATTTTAGATTTTGCTACTTCTATATCGCAAAGGGATACAACTCAATGATTAAGTTTGTTTAAATAATAAATAACACAACCTATCAGCTCATAGGCGGATCCAAAAGGGGGGGGGGGGGGGGGGGGGGCGGGCCCCCCTTTCGTGGGAAAATTTGGTTGATTATATAGGGAATCACTGAAGCATGACTGGAGCGGGCCCCCTTAGCTCAGTCAGCGCCCCTCACCTCCCCCCTCCCCTTATGAAAAGTTCTGGATCCGCCACTGCAGCTAACCAGTGAAATCAAAATATATTAAACTTTGCTTTAAAAAGAGCACAACGTCTTACCACCAAGACATTTTATCGGAACGTATAGTTTAGAAGAAGTTAAACATATAACAAAGTTACGAGGTCAGAGGTTGAGCACGTTTACCAATTTTTTACCAAATCTGGATTTGTATAACCAAATTTGTCCTTTGTTTTGCTTGATCTGTCAAATTGGAGGGAAAACTATTAGCAAGAAAACAAATACGATTCATATATACATGTATCAATAAGTTTGTTGCTGTATTTAATATTTGTTTTTCGTTCATTTTTTTGTACATAAATCGGGCCGTTAGTTTTCTCGTTTGAATTGTTTTACATTTGTCATTTCGGGACCTTTTATAGCTGTCTATGCGGTATGGGTTTTGCTCATTGTTGAAAGCCGTACATTGACCTATAGTTGTAACTCTATGTCATTTGATCTCTGGTGGAAGGCTGTCTTATTTGCAATCATACCACATCTTCTTATTTTTATAAGTACAACAAATAAGGGTTTGAGAATATGATTTATTTTTCATCGAATTGGGAAAACAAATGGGACCCTTAATATCTACCATCCCATTGAGTATCATTCAATACCATTTGCCATGAATTAAACCGTATCGATATTATAATTTCATATTTTCAGTATTTATTCAAACACATGTATTTAATTGTAAGCAAACTGAAGTTACATATAGTTGTACATCACTTGTCTAAATATGTATGTGTTGCATTGAATTGATATTATTTTAAAATTAATGTCCTGATAGAGGTGAAGTTAATTTACTCTGAAATTGTATCACTTTTTGTTTCACAAGTTTGTAAGACCTTCTGGTATATAGAGTAGTAGTGAGTATATTTCAAAGCTTGAGTTTTTGATCAGGATTCCATTGAAAAAGTGTTATGCTTACAAGAAATTTACTCAACCAATGGTTCTAAATTCTAAAATTGAAGTCGTCTCTTCGTATTGGTGATATCGTGAATTGGTTGACCAATACAGAGTATACATTGTTTGAAATATTCACAATCCGTGCATGACATCGATAATGACTTGTTATTACAAGACAATTTACTAGTGGTGCAGGAACTGACCACCCTTCAAAAGGATATGAAAATACACTAGGTAATTGGTGGGGTTAGCGTTGTGTTTGCTTCATGTTTTGGTTAACATTTGATCATGCCTTTGTGTAAGAGAATTTGCATGTATACCGATCGTTTCCAAATTTGATATCTTGGGGTAAGAGGAGAAAAATTATCAGATCTGCTAACATGTAAAACCTTGCCACTGGATTTTAACCTGAATCACACGATGGGTGTCAACAGAGGAGCAGAAACTGCGTACCCTTCTGCAAAGGAGTTCCTCTCAAGTTTTTGCTGGGATTCGTCATGCTCAATCTTTTTCTGTTTAAATTGTGTGTACTTATGTTCTTCTTGTCGTCTTTATTCCCTTTTGGTAGTAAAGTTGTCTGTTTCGAGTTATGTTTTTTTATTTTTCACTACAAAAAATGACTAGGTTGCACGACAGGTGGTATTTGAAAAAAACTCAACAGATATAGGTTTTGATCAATTGAAAGTTAGTTTTTCATTAAAAGATCATATCAGAAATATTATAAGGTATAAATTGATATATTATATTAGCTGATTGTGATGAAGAAAGATTTAATTTGCTGCACACAAAGTTTTCGGAATTTACTTGCATCTGCATAATTTTCGAACATAAAGACACGTTGTATTATCAAATTTTAATCTATTTCACACATTTGTATAGACTTTCAAAACATATAGCTTCATTTAATGCGTAGATTGCTTAATCTTGAGTTTTCTGTGTATTGTGTTTTTGTCTACTAAGTGTTTTGTCTTTTCGTCTTCTTTACTTGACCATGGTGTTGTTTGTCCTGGACTTGATTTTCGTTGTCTCCTGGTATTTTCTTCCTTCTTCTAAAAATTACCATAAACACGTAAAAATTCAATATATCGACATTAAAAGTTCTTTGCTTTATCATAAAAAGCAAAAGTGGTCAAAACAGCAAATATTGATTGATTAGTAGTTAATTTCTGACATTATGTTGGAATATATAAAAAAAAAACCCACTTTCTCATACATATTGAAACGAAATACTAAGTAGAAAAAAGTGACAAAATACAACAAAAGATCATAAGTCGGTGCAAAACTGGCAATACCACATGAAAAAAAAACGAAAAGACTAACAACCGTCCACAAAACACAGGAAAGATTTCAGATGCTCTGGAAAAGAACAGATCTCGCTCCACATGTTGCACCCATCGAAAACTCGTGACAAGTACAAGTTCTGGAAAAATAATCTACCTCAGTAGTGTCATTACCGCTAGGAATCATTGGTTCAATAGCTTCCTTGTAAGCAGCAATCCTCTATCAAGAAAAATCATAATAGGAAACTCTTGAATATCGTATCAACTGGGAAATATATACTTCATATGCAGGCGCTGTTGGAATGTTACTGCATAGAAATGGAAATTTAAAATAAGAAAGCTGAAATCATATCTTTGTCGTAAAGTTTTGTTCTCAACCGATCCTCGTTGTCATTTTCTTGATGTAGGTCATTATATGAGGCAGACCTTACTATATCTGTGATAACTTTTACTTCAAGTTCGATTGAGGTAGATGCGGTCAACATAGTCACCAAACTTTGAATGATTTAGTGAGAGGATATCTATATAGTGGAACGTGCACATGAAGTTAAAGGATAATGCTAGCTTCTTTTCATTTTTTATGAGATGCTTTTGTAACAAACATGTTGGCAATAAAAAAAAATGAAATATCGTGATGATGCCAGTTTAAGAGAATTTAAATCAGAGTGGTTTGTTACAAAGTATGACATATTCCTTCCTCAAATAAGATATTTATATCTACATTAGCCTTTATTTGTTTATGAAACAAAGTGGTCTCATTCTTTCAATATGTCTTTGGTATAAAATTAAAGAGATGTGGTATGATTGCCAATGAGACAACCACAGAGATCAAATCAAATGACGTAGATGTTAGCAACTAAAGGTCGCCGTATGGCCTTCAACATTGAGCAAAAACCTTACCGCATAGCAAGCTTACATTAAAAGATTAAGCTCATCTTGTAGTATATTCTGTATTATTCCATATTGATAGAACTTGAGTAGGTTTTTCTATATGAATTGGATTTTGAATAAAACAGCATATTCACCTGAGGAAAAGGTACATTCACCGCGCAAAACGTCGCGTGCTTTTACGTTTATAATTATGGTAAAACCGTTTGAAGTACAATTGGTTTTGGTAAATAATTGTCATTAAATACATTTTCTCTCTCGGAATACGGAATAAAACAATTATTGTCTTTTGTTTCGGTAAATATTAAGTTTAATTGACTTTTGAAATACTGATATTCACTTCGGCCGTTTGGTCTCAGTGAATATCAGTTTTTCAAACGTCAATAAAACCACAAATTTACCTCACCAAAAGACAGCCGCTTGAAGAGCAGGATCTGCTTACCCTCGGTTAAAGTTGTAAAAATTTTAAGAAGTGAATCAACCAACTTTATACACTTATGGTATATGTCGAGCACGTCCCCGACATATACCAGGGCTTCCGGTCATAAAACTTTACTCAGTTCTCGGAGCACAAAATGTATGCTCGAAACACCAAATCCAGTAATTTGATTGGTTGATATTTGAGTCTTAGAACAATCTTCGTACTCAGTCGAAATGTTTACGGCAGCAAGGCCAGAAGTGTATGACGTTTGTTGACGTCCCAAAATCTTTATCGGCTTTTATATCCACACAAAATTTTGACTGAATTCATGTCTATTGCAAGAAATAAAGGGAATACCGATTAAATTTATCCATTGTTTATTTCATGAAATTCAACAATACTATTCTTACAATGTTGCTTTGATTCGGTTGCACTAAAGTGGTCGATTAAAGCTTTCTTTTCAGTATATTTTACTTGGATTTTACAGGTTGTGTTACTTCGCATGCCCTTTTTTTCGT